AAATAGTAGGTACTGAGCCGCCGGATAATTTTTAATAAATTCATGAATGATATCTATGATTCCAAAAGATGTGTGGCTGAAGGTTTGGTCACCAGATACATTTAAATAGGTTATACGTTTTCAAACACCCTGTACCTGGCTCTTTTCTGGTTGTTGTCAAAGTATTACTCCGTCTTCTAAATAAGACAGATGCTAGTCGCAAGGTAATCATTGTCTTTTCTGTTTTCTGGATTTCTGAAAACATGTGCTGCATAATGTCAATGATGTACAAAATTATTTGCAAACAGAAGGTCTAAACGTGTATTACTGTGCTAAAAACTGAGTACTTTACACATTCTATTCACAGAAAAACGAGATAAAATGGCAGATGTGCTAAAAATGAATGTAAAGACTTTGGCATTTTAAAGAAACCTCGAAGAAAAATTACGAAGATGCAAATTTTTGGCGATAGATGTGAAGATTCTGCCTTGTCTCCTGGAAATAAGAAGATAGTTGAATACAAAAATGGATGAAAGGCCTGTGCAGTGTTGCCAACCGTACGGTAATTACCGTACATGCATGGTAATATGTGCCAAAATACGGTATACGGTAATAAGTTCATTACCGTACGCAAATATACGGTAATTAAACGATTAGCATAACATTTACCGTATTTAGAGTATTTTAATATATTTAAGTATGTCCAATTGTCCAAAATTAAAAAGTACTTTGTTGGCAAGTAAATGCGGCAATAATTTTAACCAAATCTATGTTAATTTTGCTCCAACAAAAGCAATGTTGTTAAGAACTACTAAATCCATCACGTATCCAATTTTTTACTTTGTTTTTGTACTATTTGGGATGAGCAAAAGTACCTAAATTTTTTGTTTTAAATTTACTTGTTTACTGACTCAGGTAAGTTGGTTACCTTGAATAACTGAAGATATGGAAAAAGGGCTTATGTACTATTCTTTTTATCGATAATCTTGCATAAATAAAAAGCCTATACACCTAAAATTCATTCTAACTATGAGTTGTTATGAACCTATGTTCCATGGTGAACTATTTAAACAATAAACTTTAAACTCAAATATCCCCAAAGTATGTTTCTGTTACATACGTCTTTCACCCATTTGTGGAAGTCATTCTTAGTCTCACTACCCTTGATATTTACATCAAGGAGGTTGCTCTGACGACACTGACACGCCTCCGCACGGTTGGAATAGAACCTGATGTAGGATCTGGTAAGGTGAGACGTCACTTTTGGTAGGAGGCGCTCGATACGCTCCCACTGCTTCAAGCGAACACCGAAATATATCTTCCATAAGCCATATAAAGTTATAATAGAACAAATAGAAGAGCCAGAAGTGACAGGCACGATTCATATCTACACCGACGGTTCTAAAACAAAACAGAGCTCAGGATGTGGAATATACTCCAGATTTTAAAACCTAAACAGAAAATGTGCTGTAAGCAATAGTGCCAGTGTAGTTCAAACAGAGCTAAGGGGGATTCTCATAGCAGCAAAAGAAATAACCAGAAACAATATCACTGGAAGGAACATGCTCATCTATACATATAGCAGACAAGCACTACTCACCCTGATCAGACCACGAATTTATTCAGGGTTAGTACTAGAATGTCACGAAGCTTTGGCCGAAGTATCCATCAACAATGTGGTCACCTTAAGATGGATCAAAGATGGATCATCGAAAGGTAACCGTCTTACTGATTCACTAGCCAAGAAAGCAGCCAACCAAATACTTTTTGGACCTGGCCCTTCTATTGGCTTTACAAAATCGGTAGAGACAGACCTAATTAAAGAACATTCCCTTGTGAAATTCGAGGAAAGATGAGATGAAACAAGAAACTGCAGAGTTGCCAGGGAGCTCTTAAGTTATCCTGACAACACTGCAGCAAACAAATACGACTATGACTAGACAGAATTTGCGCCTAGTCACAGGCATTCTGACTGGTCATTGCCAAGTACGGAAGCATCTCCATATCATGAGGCTGTCAGAATCCGCACTTTGCAGAGGGTGCGAACAAGAAGATGAGACCATCGAGCATATCCTTTACGATTGCTTGACGCTCTCATTTAGTAGAAGATTTGTGTTCGGCGAGTATCGGCTTACACTGGCCGATATAAGAGAAGCACCTCTTGGCGACATTGTCAACTACAATAAATCTGTAAGCTGGCTCACGAGCTAAGAGGTGCTTATCATCTTTGGAGGATGCACAATTGGCCTAATGAGGCCTAAGTGCCGTGTGGGTAACCCACCCTCCACACGTTACCTACATATGCCAAAACTTCAATTTTCCCAAAAAATTATTTGTTTCAAAAATGTAAAAGGCCGTGAACTAGAAAATAATGTTCAAATAGCCTTGAATAACTCGAAACAAAAGCTATTTATCATTTGAGTTAATCAAAAATCTTTCATATAAAAATAAATTTCTAGAACGTGTTTTTTACAAAAATATAACTATTAAGGGCCATTTTGCCATGCACCACTTGGAACATAATAAAATAAAATAAACAACAAAAAAAATAATTAGGAAAAATGTCATATGTAATTTGAACTGTAGCTTCAAAAAAAAAATCGAACTAATGTTATTTCCGGTAAAACCGAAAGTCGGCCATTTCTTTCAAGTATAAATATCAATTTCAAATAATTTTTTTAATAGGTTTGTCTTAAATTTGATTAAAATCGCTTTATAATTGAAACAGATATTAACATGGCCCCTATACCCAAGAATGGAAAATTAATTTAATGAGTGCATAATTGCTTATAACACGCACTATGTACTATAGTTTACCTACGACCATTTAGAGATGTAAATATTTGTATAGTCTGTGCATTTAGTTTATTGTGCACTTTGTTTACCGTGCGTTCTGTTTACCGTACTTTTTGTTTACCGTGTGATTTGTTTACTAGACATAATGAGCTATTTACTGCGCCTGCAGGTTGTTTTTGTCTCTTTTCCTTAGTGGTCGTAAAAAAAAAGATTTTTTACATGACGGTTCCGTTTTCACGATATAAGTAGCACGTTCCTAGTTTAAATAGATTAATTTAATTTAAAGCGAAACTGAAAATTCCAACAACGGACATTATTAGTCGATTAAAGATGCCTGCTGTGAAAAAACAAGGATGCTGTTTAAATGGCGAAGAAAACGCAATTATAATTTCAGTTTATAGTTTATATAAATAGAAGTTGATTATCATTTCCTTACATATTAATTTACTGCTACCTGTTCGAACTACTAATGCCTAGTTCATTTTCATCTAGGAAATCATTCCACTTTTACTTAAGTATGCAGATAAGATGCTCAAATTTAATAAAAAAATTTATCTTTTTAACATTAACCGTTGATATACTCATTATTCAATAAATTTCAAAATGATCTAAGGTACAAAGAGTGTTTTTGCGCGTATATTTAAATTCCATAAAAAAAATCAAAATGGAGCATAGATCGTATATAAGATCAAAATAATGTCGGTATTTTACTTCATTTTTTGCAAGATTCTTCAGTGCATCTAAATTATTTGAGATCTTTAGCTTGACATCACAAAAAAATGCATTTACCTTCTTGGAAGTCAGGATTCAATTATCCTACACAATATGTTTATAGGGGTGATACTTTCGAATCACCGAGATATGCAGTTCCCGTCCTGGCAAAGGACTTCGCAGTTTGTAGTTAGGCATAATGGAAATATTTCTGGGAACACCATGCAAATTCTGGAGTACCGCAAGAGTCTAGTCTGGGACCTCTCGTATTTATTATATTTATCAACGATCTTCTTTTCGTTCTTAAGTACGCTGAGTATCTGTTTTATAAGTTTATTTTATTTTATGAATTAGTAAAAGTCATAAATTATTTTTAAATTAGTTATTTGATCTTAATCTTAAAATAACTTTTAAAATTTGTAGATTTTCGTTGGTAGGTCGTAGAAAAAATATACTGTACAACTCGAAATGATTGTGCGTATCGCCATCATATCCACTATTGTTGCACAAACTACTATTATCATCGATTATTAAGCCACAGTTTAAATCTTTCTATGTAAAATTAGAATAACTCTGGTCAACTATAATACTCTTCCTATAATTCACCCCCTTATGAATTCATTTTAACCCCAAAAGCTGACTGAGGTTGCCCGGGGAAGGGACGGCTATTGTTATTAGTTGCAGTGGCGCTCCAGGGCGACCTACAAATGATTGATGGTGTCATTTGACTTACAGGTGAGAAAAACCCGGAAAACTGCATCCACCATCATCTAAAAGGTAACAAAAATTAAATTACTGCTAATACGGCACCCATTAAATCTTGCAACAAATCTAGAAAATTAATTAAACATTCGCATGGTTTGGTTTAGGGTCTGAAGCCGTGTGTAGCTAAACCACTAAAGGTTTGTAAGTGAATACCGGCGCTCGACACAACTGCGCTACTGATACATTATTACTTTAAACGAGTATTGATTTGTATTAACCATTGTAATAAAGCATTTGGCCTGTTTATTTAATAATGAATAAGTACGTACACATCCTGGTACACCGTGTATAACGCAAACTTTCAGAATATTCGAAAAACTCTTTAATGCGTGTTTTAATCAACTTGAATTCGAAGTTTTTATATTTATATTAAGAGCGTTGTGATTTTTTTTTTCACGTGAGAAAAATCGCGGGCGTCAGAGAAAGTACCGATTGCAGCTTTATTTGGCAAATAAAGAAAGATTACGATTGGCTCATCTGAATACGGTACCTCCAGCTAGGAAGTGGGTTAGTTTCAGCAACGCTGCATCGGTACATATTGCATAGAGCTTCTTCTTGGCGACAGACCTTCCTAGGCCTTCGACTTAGGTACTCACAGTTCACACTACTCTCGCCAAGCCAAGGACGGACGCGCGAAATCGGCGAAAACTCAAAACCGCTGAAACGAAGCACTTCTGAAAGCTGACGGTACCGCGGAAAATTCATTACCTGGTCCGTGGTCCTATCAAATTTCTAGAAACCGCGTAAAAATGCGAGCATTGCTGTTGATCGGTCTGTTGTGCGCCGTGAGGGTCGAATCGCAGTTTTGGAACAACCCCAATTTTTTTCAGAACTGGTTTAGGCAACCGAAGAATGATTTGAAACGGGAAATTACTACCAAATCGCCCACTACTATCACAACAACCAGGAAATTGCAGGAAACAACTAGGACACTTCAGGAAACAACTACGAAATTCGAGACTGTTACAAAAATTCCGCCTACGATTTCGTATTCTGCGGAAACTACCCCTAGGAAGTTAACTACTATCACTTCTACGGTTACTTCGACTGATGGTAGTACCATTTATGATACTACTAGTGACGTCACTGGCACCACAGAAGAGCCAAGGGATAACAGCAGGACTCACGATTTTTATTTAAGCAAACGGGAGAGACCACAAATTAAAATTTCAACGAATATTAGTCAAGTAAGTGCAGCTCAATTTTCAATTTGTCTACATTTTTAATTCTCAAATACGTATAACTTTTTTTTACTGAAATGACATTTTCGATCAGCAGACATATTATGTTAAAGTGTTAAATTAATGGTTTATAAATCCATGTGATTTTTAAGGATATTTATACAGTACATCTGAAAATTTTTTTTAATCCATACATAATTTAAAAAATATATAAATATATAGGGTGTTTTAAAAACATGTGCTATCGTTCTTAGAGTGGTTCGTTACCCAAAAATAAGACAAATAGTTATTATCGACACGGGTCTGCAGATTTTGTTTCAAAGATACAGGGTATTACAATTTTTAATATATATTTTTTTAATATTTCCGAAACGAAAATATGTGCTTTTTAGGTACATTTTACAACCAAAATTTCATTTAAATCGTTAAAGCTTTTCGGAAATACTTTGGAAACACCGAAAAAATGTAAAAATTATATTTCTTATATCTTTGAAACAAAGCATCTGCGGTCTTATGTTGATAGGAAGTATTTGTCTAATTTTTGGGTAAGGAATTACCTAACGAGCGACAGCACATGTTTTTTTGAAACACCCTGTATACAAAATTTAAAATTAATGTTTATATAAAAACTAAACACTAAGTTATATTACATTTTAAAAACGTAAAGTCCAAAACTAAAGTTTTTATTCGAATTTGTCAAAAATCGTCGTTTTTCGGATAGAAAACATAATCGAAAAGTGGAACTTTTCTATATACCCAAGCTGAAAAAGTCAACCGGCTCCGATTTCTAGACATTTGTTTTTATTTTCAGTTTACTTTTTGTCATTTTAATTTTTTTCTATTGTAACAGTAGTCTATAATCCATAATTATATTGATTGGACATAAGTACACATCAGTTTAATTTTCTATATTTTTTAAGATCTAAGCCCATCCGAATAAAAATAATGCATGAAGCAAGGAAGAAAAGTGTTTTTCGGACTCCCGTGAGTTGCCAGGCAACTTACCTGGCAAACTTCCCGTACTCGTTCGAAAAACTCAACTTTTCGTCCTTGTAATATAAACAATACTATTTTGGACATTATTGATAAAGCTAATATATTAAATATCTAATACGGTATTGCGTATTATTGTTTTTAATGCCTCTTAAATTTCAAAAATTAATTTTAAAATGAACTTACTGTTCAAAAGTTATTTGGACTGTGAATAATTTGAAATTGAAGTCATTTAGATAGATTACATCGTCAAGATCCGTCAAGATAAGGCTTATACATTTTAATGAACGTTTTTGCAACTGGCTGCTATTATTTTTGAAACAAAAATTAAAAAATAAAAATATCAGCTTTAAATACTCAGAAATCTAATGTTTCTGCATAAAAATTAGAAAAAACTTAAATATCGGATTTGCGTTAAATTGTTTTGTTTTTAGACCTTCAAAATGAGATATGATTATAATACTAAAATTTGATTTTATTTAATTCAATAGTGTCGAAGATAATAATAGTTTATTATTTACCATATGCAACATAAATGTAAATGACTTAATTTTTATATTAACTATGAGATATAAAAATTTACAGTTAGGTCTACAGATCAAAATTAAATATTATATTATTTGTATAGCCCCCGACTAAGACTTTTGGGACTATTGGAATTTGTAAAACTGTATTAGATTCAACATTTTGATAATACCTTTTATTTTGAGTTCAAACTTGGGATAGCCATGTGTAAGTTTATGAATTAAGGGTGAGAAAAAGAAAGAAAACAGGTCCTTTATATCTCACAAAGAATATTGTATTTGAACGGCGACCGGTTTCGAAGTTTGTTCACTTCATCTTCAGGCATACCTAGTGGGTAAGAGAAGAGGGGGAATTGATGAGTTTTAAGTTGTTAGCAAAAATTAAAAAAAAAAATAAAAAATAATGGAATATTGAATTAATTTAAGTGAAATTAACAAAACTATTATTTGGGTCGTATACTGTGTGTCCGATATTCGAATTTCTACAGGGTGTTCTGTAATGATGTTCCATTATTAAACAGGGTGTTCTACCAATCATTTTAGGTAGTTTTCTTATAAAATTTTGCATTTTGGATCCTCTCTGTCGAAATATTTAAGTCTCGCAAAAACCGATGACAAAAATTTCAATATAAACAAAATTGTACGTAAACTGATGAATATACGAAAATATTACTACAGTGAAAAAGTTTATAAATTGAATTTCTTTTTTGTTAGAGTTGGCTTTTAAAGAAATAAACGAGGGGTCGCTAATATCTACCCTTCAGAAACCCATCAAAGAATAGTGTTCGACTAATGGATGTGTACCAAAATTACAATTTCTAAGTTTAACCGTTTTCAAGAAAAAAAAAATTAATTATTTAGCCATTTTGAGACTTAAATATCTCAACAGAGAGGACTCAAATTGCAAAATTGTATAAGAACTCCGTCCTTAAATAGTTGGTAGAACACCCAGTTAAAATATTGGATGATCATTATGGAACACCCTGCATAATGGTATATCGCTTAATAACCGGGGAATATTTTAGAGAATTTTATACGGATCTCAGAATCGTTTTCAAAATAATTCAGTTATTAAAAAAATGGCAGATTTTGTTATTTAAATGGCAGGTTAATAGTTAATTTGACATTGAAAGTATTATATTTTTAATAAAGAATATTTTCGTAGAAACGATAGATATATTTATTATTTCTTATAGCGGCCATCTTGGATTAAAACATAAGATTATTTCTCTCTAAATTATCTTTTAAACGATGTCATCAAATTTTTTAAGAAATACTCTTAAATTAATAAAAAATTAATTGTTTCTTTAGTTTGGCAACACCGCATACATCTAAAATAGCATGTGGTACACGAAAAGCATTAGTTACCGGATTAATTAGTGAATTAAAAAAAATTTAGGCCTAATACATTAGGCCTTCCGCAATACCGCAATAAAATTGACAGATAAAAAATAATCAAAATAAAATGCAATTCAATTTTCATGCTATTTTAGATGGATGCGATGTTGCAAAATTAAAAAAAATATACTATTTTATTAATTTAACGTGTCTCAAGTTTAACACTTTGGAATATGTCAAATTAATGATTATGCAGCCATTAGAAAAAATCTATCATTTTTGATTTTTTTTTAAATAACTCAAAAACTACATAAATTTTAATATTTTGAAAACGGATCAAATACTATCATAAAAAATCTTTAAAATATCCCCCGTTTAACAAACCTTTGTCTTATATTAAGCTGTAGATAACAAATAAAGACTCAAATTTCGGACACACTGTATATATTTACAAATCGATGCAATAACTTTTAAATCACTAATATCAATTAAATCATAATTAATTATAATTTAAATTTATTAAATATTAATTATATTTTAATTTGAGGAGTATACCTCACTAATCTGTGTAAATATTACTATATTAAACGACAAAAATTAAAACCAATAATTATGAATAATTATAGATTATAGATTTTTTAGAAAATAACCATCCCGAATAAAACATAAATAAATTTAATTTGTAAAACGCCACTGGTGTAAGTAGGGGATAAAATTATATTTGGCGAGATTATTAACATCCTAGAATTTATCTCTTTAAGTGTACACTATTTGTTTAATATTAATATAATTGCGCTGGATGATTAAAAAATCCGTTTATCCAGTCTGTTAAATTGGTTGGCAATCGATTTGCATGAATCATGAATGAAGACCATCAATCAATCATAAATAGTAGCTATATACTGAATGATAATACCAGTTTTTGTTTTTATACTGGTCTTCCTGAATGCGCTACTACTCAATGATATATTAAAGCTTGTGTTTTTTCCTGACTACCTAGAATAATAATCTGACTTAATAATATAGTTCAAATCTAATCGAAATAATATTGTTAGCGACAAATAATTAAAGTTTAATCCCTAGAGAGACAAAATGTCATTTTATTCCCTAAAGGGTTTCCAGGATAACGCAATACAACTAAAAGTAGCTAGAATTAAATTTGATTAATTACAGAATACAAATGATCAGGTTATTTTAAATTAGCATGTTTTATTTATAAAATTAATTATTTCCTAGAAAATTGAAGTGCTGCACTACATCAGATATTTTGAATTCATACACATTATTAAAAATTAAAACAATTATACAGGATGTTAAAAAAAAAGTGTCACAAAATGAAATGGTGAATAGTATGACCCAAAATAAGCAGAAAAGTCTTAATAAATATATGACCGCAAATTAACGGTTTCGGAGATACGGACCATTTTGTGTTTATAACAATTTTTTATTATTATAAAAAAACAATGATATTTATAAACAATCAATAACAACATAGAGTTAAATGAGATGATACTGACGTAGCGCTTCCCTCGCATTGCCATTTGCACGACCGTACATAAAATGTATGTCAACTAATTCAATATTAGTGTAAACAGGCATAACGAAAATTTATAAAATTATTCACCCACAACAAAATAATAACTGCAAATAGTATCTATGAAAAAACATCGGTAGACTCCGATAAGAAAAGCAAGTTTTTGAGAATGAAAAAAGATAATCAAAAAATGATACAAAACACTCCGTATCTCTGAAACCATTCATTTGCGGACATATGTTTATTAAGACTTTTCTGCATATTTTGGCCCATACTACCCCCCGTTTTATTTTGTGACACTTTTTTTTTAACACCCTGTATATCTCATTGCCGTCTAGTAAATTTCTATCTATATTGAAAATAGCCACCATTATACCTATTTTCAGCTGATAATATTGCTAATTATCGGCCGATTTTAGTATTAAGTATTTTCTTAAAAATTGAAGAAAAAGTAATACAAAACAGGATGACTAATAACTTATCTGAATTTCTTATTGTTACAAAGAGTAAACATGGCTTTAGGACGGGCAGCTCGACGCAAACAGATCCCTGTGAATTTGCTGAATATAAATGTCTTACTGATGGTCATCAATTGTTGCTTTGTTCTTCAAGCTTTT